AATTAGGTAAAAATATCAGGTTTTAAATTACAATTTCTGGTTTTTGCTTTTTCCCCCCTCGGCTCTTGGCTAATTGCTTTTCCCTCGGTTGCTGCAGATGAAGATACTCGGTTACGTTTCTCTCTTGAACCTCGACCTGGTGACGAAGCTTTCCAGCAGTGGCGAGACGCGATTCGCGCCATGGCCCGTTTGCCTCAAGGTATTCCTGCCATCTTCCGCCAGCGCATCTGGCTTGCTCTTGCGGATCATCAGATCGCTTCTCAGCATGTTGACTGGACTTATGTGTGCCGAGTGGCCTTTAACGAGCGCATGAATCCAGATGACGACAGTCTAGGCGCCCAGATCGTAAAAGACCTACACCGTACTGGCTGCGACCAGTTTGGTGCCGGGTCTACGGCAAGTGCCGAAGACCGGGCGGCCTTAAAGCGGGTACTGTTGGCCTATGCTAGATGGAACAAGCGAGTCGGCTATTGTCAGGGTTTCAACATCCTAGTTGCTGTCATACTTGACGTGATGCAACGTGACGAGGAAGCTGCTCTAAAGGTTATATTTTTCCTATGAAAGTTTAAGCTTGTAATTCTTATTACCAAGGTCCCAGAAGACCAACATAAAATAAATAAGTAAACATGCTATTAAGATGATGTGGCATTTGGTATGGCTACGGCCTCCTTTCGATGTATAGCAGTGGGCTGACCTCGCTTTCGCAACATGATCATGTTGTCAAGGTGACTTAGTTGGACGTATCTTGTCCGAAGTTTCTTTGCTATAGTATTTATCATAATTCTCAGCGTCAGACCATGGACTTGTTACAATCCCAGACTTTTCGCCGGCATCGTCAGTGACTTACGTTGCCGGCTAAACGCTTGGGAATATACCAAGTTCACGGTCGGACGCTGAGAATTATGATAACTACTACAGCAGAGGAATTCGTACAAGGTGCGTCCAAATAAGTTACCCTGACAACACGACCAAGTTGAGAATACGCAGTCAGCCAACTTCTAAATAACAATTATTATTATTATTATTATTATTTCAGCTTCACTTTTTGCAAGAAATTTATCTACCACTATGATAAGTTTAGATCACCTGATCGCTTGTTTCATCGAAATACATGAGACCTCTGGTGGCTATAATTATTGCAGTGTACAACAATCGAATCTGACTGTTAACTTATTTTCCCTGGACAATTCAATAGGGCCTCTTTAAGTGTGAATTGCACAAGTCACCAACTACTGTTTGACTCTGTTTCGTGATTTTTGATGGAATGCCTAGCCTTATATCTTAGACGCCATTTGCCTCAATCCTATGAATCATGTTTCTTAGAATATGTTTAAAAATTTTGCCAAACTGGACCTTTATTTTGACCTTACTTAGGTCTTATAAGCACCTACAACGGGATTCGAAATTAGCTCATATGCGTCAAGCTACAGCACCTAACCACTCAACTGCCTAGCCAGAGTAAAAGTGGGTCACAGGGCAGATGCGACTTTAAATGCAATCCGAGCCTTTCTCAGTTTAGCTCCCCTTTGAGGCTGGTGTCGATAGGAAAGCTTGTATTTTTCGTATATAAGTAGAGTTTCGAGACTACCTCTCATGAGACTACATCTCATAAAGCTTATATTTGCCATTACACTCAATAGTACCACTTATTATTAGAAACGGAAACATCAAGTCTTCGTTCTTATATAAACTGATTTATTTTATGGTTATATATACTTAAAACAATTATGCATCCCAAATGGCATCTATTTGGTTTTTAATTCGCGTGGTTTTACATAGTAAACCAACATTAGACTAAATTTTCTTTATGGTGTTGGTTGACCTTGTTTTCGCAACTTGGTCGGAGCGCGAGGGAAATCTTGTGGGACGTACCTAGTCCCGTGTCCTCTGCCATAGTATTCGTGGCTTCCAGCATTAAGCCGTTGGCTGGGTACATTCCAAAACGTTTCGCCGGAATCGTTGTCGGCATCGTCAATGAGAGGCGTCTTCGTAAGCATAGAGTAGCAACTTATCAAAGTGATAATTGAAGGCAACCCCCTAGACCAATTTTCTGTTCAACCGATCTAAATCTTGTTTATTCAAATTTTAATTTGGCTTGAGTTATCTTTCTTTCTGGAATATCTATTATTTGTGCACATTTTAATAAGGGATATTAATAATTATCTTCAGGTTACACCCCTTTCTGCTCTTTTGGTACCACCTATTAGCTGTGATTATTTTAATGTCGTCTTCCACTTTATCCTATTTTTTGTCTCTCAGATAATGATTTATCTCATCGATTTTGTCCTTCCTGAGTCCTACTTCGCGCAAAATCTTCAAGCACTTTCCGTGGATATGGCCGTTTTCAGAGAACTTTTGCGTGAACGAAATCCCAGCTTGGCCAACCACTTGGATTTTCTTCAGGCTAAAGCTGGTATGTGCCCGTCCTTTGCCTCCATACTCTCTGACGAGATTCTTATGTTCGGGTAAAAACCGATGGGCAAAGATAAATTTTTCTTTAGCCCAGTGATTCCCAAACTTGGCGCCTCGGGGAGCCACAGCCCCTGTACAGGGGCGCCGCGAAATATTGTAAAAGCTTCATAATTAATTTAACTCAGACATTTGACCTAACTAAACAAAAACGTGAGAGAAAATGCTGCGTCTTCTCGATCGCGCCATATGATCGCACTAGACACGTCGAAGAA